ATTTTTATGTTTTAACAAAATATTTACATGTGTAAAAATTAAAAAGAAAACGTGTCAAATTTTGTGAGATGTTTGCGAGTCTATTTTTCGAGCCCAGGCGAACATCTGCGCCCTTTACGCTGGAAAGATATGCTTTAGAAAAAAAAGCAAATCTACAATCCTTAAATTCCCTTACCTTCACTGAAAATCTCAACTCAATACCTTTATTCGTTTTGGTGTGATTGCCAGGACAAGCTGACCCTCTGAAAATCACTTAGTAAATCGTCTATATCTCAAGACCGGAAATGACGTCATCAATACAAAAAAAAAATTCGAATAAAGTTCAGATCAATAATATCTATTAGATCTGAAAATTTTTTTTGGTGAAAATTGACCCAGCCGACATTATCAAATAGTTATAGATAAAAGTCTTTTGGTCCCTCTGGGCCCCTTATTTGATGAATCAGCCCCTTCTTCTTCATTTCAAATGATAAGGTTCGTAAATTTAAAGATTTTTGTTCAACAAATACTTATAATTTATTTTCGTTTTCGAGACTACAGAATAAAAATCTATAGAAACCAGCCCTACAAGCCCTTAATGGGACGTTCCTGTAAATATTGAATGGTCGTTTATTGTTTAGAATACGATTCTGAACATCTTTTATTGAAATTTATTCAATACTGCTTATCCAAATAGTTCTCCCTTTGGAGATAAAAAGAAGAAAAGATTTAGCATTTTGGCCCCTTATTACTTACTATATGGTCATATTTCCTCAAGATATTGTTGCAGTTTGTTGAGATAAGCATTTTTTCTTCAGAAATGTATAACAAAATCTTGATAATTAAAGAGTTATAGATTAAAACGTTTTGGCCCCTTTGGGCCCCTTATTTTATGGGTCATACCCCTTTTCTTCATATCAAATGAAAGAAAATCTATTTCTGCACAACTTTTATTATATATCTTTTAACAAATTATTGACAGGTACAAAGATATCAGACAAAACGTGTTAAATTGTGCGAGATATTTCCGAGCCTATTTTTCTAGCGCAGGCGAGCTTCAACGCTTTTTATGCTGGAAAGATATAGACTCAAAAAAGCAATTCAGCAATTCTTCCTTCACTTAAAATCTCAAGTTAGTATCTTTATTCGTTTTGAAGTGATTGCCAGGACAAGCTGACCCTTTGAAAATCAGTAAATCGTCCATATCTCAAGACCGGAAGTGACGTCGTATATATAAAAAAAATTCCAATAAGGTTCCGATTATATCTGTCAGATCAGAAAGTTTTGTGAAAATCGACCGAGGCGTTTCCGAGAACTCGCGTGCACAAAATAGGGGCCAGCCTTTTACATCCTTAAGGGGACGTTTTTGCATATATAGAATGGTTGTATAATGTTTAAAAGACGATTTTGAGCATCTTTTATTCAATACTGCTTATTAAAATAATTCCCCTTTTGGAGATATAAATATTCCAAGATTGAACATTTTGTCCCTTAATGGCCCCTAATTACGTAACATATGATCAAAATTTTACAATGCATTGATGCAGATTGTTATGAAACATTTTTTCTTCAGTTATTTAAAACAAAAATTTGATAAATAAAGAGTTATAGATGAAAGTTTTTTTTCCCCTCTTTGCCCTTTATTTGAGGGGTCACACCCCTTTTCTTCATATCAAATGAAAGAAAATCTTACTCTGCACAACTTTTATTATATATCTTTAAACAAATTATTGACAGGTACAAAGATATCAGAGAAAACGTGTTAAATTGTGCGAGATATTTCCGAGCCAATTTTTCGAGCTCAGGCGAGCTTCACGCCTTTTGCGCTGGAAAGATATAGACTCAAAAAAGCAATTCAGCCATCCTTCCACTACCTTCACTGAAAATCTCAAGTCAATATCTTCATTCGTTTTTGAGTGATTGCCAGGACAAGCTGACCCTCTCAAAATCAGTAAATCGTCCATATCTCAAGACCGGAGGTGACGTCGTACGTATAAAAAATTTCCAATAAGGTTCAGACCAATACCTATCAGATCTTAAAGTTTCGTGAAAATCGACCGAGCCGTTTCCGAGAACTCGCGTGCACAAAATCGGTAAGAAAAAAAAAGAATAATAATAATAATAATAATAATAATAGAGAAAAAGAAACCGAACGAAAACAATAAGGTCTTCCGTTGGAGACGGAAGACCTTAATAATAAAAATAGTGGAAAAGAAACCTAAGAATAACAAGAAGGTCTTCCGCTGAAGACGGAAGACCTTAATAATAATAATAATAGGAAACCGACGGAAAACAATAAGGTCTTCCGAAGGAAGTCGGAAGACCTTAATAATAATAATAAGAAACAGTAGAATCACTATAAGGTCTTCCGTGAAGACGGAAGACCTTAAATAACTAGAGCAAAGCTCGTTGCAAAGCAACGAGTAGGTCTTCCGACCGGTTTTGACCGGAAGTGCCGGAAGTAACGTCAACAAAAGAAAGCAATGAGCTTAGTAGTATCCAGTGACTACATAATTTCAATTTTGCATCAAAACCTTCAAAATAAACTTTTTTTGGCTACTTCCGGTTTGACCGGAAGTTACGTCGATGGACGGAAAATTAAGTATTTTGCTTTCAGTGACATATTTTACCCAAAAACATGTCAAAGACAGCCAATATATACATTTTTTGACTACTTCCGGTTTGACCGGAAGTGACGTTATTTGACGACTTTCATCAATTCAGGCTTCATTTCCGGCTGACATCAAAGCCAAAAGACCAGAAAAAAAGCTCAAATTAAACATTTTTTTCTATTTCTTTTGATTAAAGAGAGAAAGTTAAATTTTTCGTCAACTTCCGGTGTAAACCGGAAGTACTTCCAATTGATGTTTTTTATTGACGATTGTAAATGTTAACATAAGTTCTGTTTGCCTTTATTAAAGACGGTTAAATTTTTCAAAAAAATTTGAAATTAAACATCACTTCCTGTGTCGACCGGAAGTAACGGATGCCAAACTAAAAGACGTAATACATATTTTAAAGAGATGTTTTACCATCCCTGAAAATTTCGTGATTCAGTCTTGAGTGGTTTACAAGAAGATGCGTGGACAAAATGACGATTTTAAAAAAGGAAATCGGACAAAAAATGCGACCGGAAGTGATTTTTTAAAAAATGAAAAAAGGGTCTGGAGATTTTACAAAAATGCATCATTCCTGAAAAAATCATTGAAATTGGTTCAGTAGTTTCCGAGAAATCTTGTGTACTATGAAAAGGGAAAAATAATAATAATAGGAAACATAAGAAAAACAGTAAGGTCTTCCGAAGGAAGTCGGAAGACCTTAATAATAATAAGAAACAGAGTAAAAACAATATGTTCCCCAACTTCGTTTGGGGAACATAAATAGGAGCAGAGCAAATAAAGACCTCCAAAATATCAGAGGTGGGATCAGTTGCCATGGAGGAGTGAGAAATTAGAATTAATACACACGTAGACATTTGTAAACAAAATAAATATATGTATGAACGAGTTTGCCCCCCAAAAAAAATGAATCCGAAGAAGTTAGAAAACTTTCATTTGACATCTACCAATTTAAAAATTTGCATTAAAAATTTCGTAGTTTATTTCTCAAATTAGGAAATAGATTTTCTAAAGTCTACAGATTTCTTAAACACACTTTTTGTTCAATATTTGTGTTTTACTTTTTTTTTTTAAATTTAAAATGAGGTTTTAGCAATATCATTAAATATATTTAACAGATGAACTCTGCAGTGTTATATTGCTAAGACCATAAAGCCATGTACCCTTTTTGTCAATTAAGTCGCAGAACGGAAAAGCTCATGTGACAATATATATAAAATGACACAACTTATCACTATACTTAGTAGCACATTTAGATGCTTTTGCAAGGAAGTGAAGATTATTTTCATTTCCTTTTTTTTTTAAATATTTCTATCAAATCATAAAGCTAAATTTTATTCACAGTACTTATATCCTTCTTGAGTATTGCAAGTGCCTAATACTGACCCTTTTTTGGATAGCAAGCAATCAGGAAGCAAAAAGAAAACATTATTTAGACACACACAAAAAGGTTAAAAGATGGGCTACTCGTCAAAATGTTTTCATTGTATTGTTTTCCTGATTTCATTTACTTTATTATTCGAAGTGACATTCACAAGTTAAATTAAGAATATAAGCATTTATTATGAAGCATTTGTGTGTTTAAAACTGATTTGGATGATACATCTTAACACAATAAGTTTTTCTTAACTATAATTGATATGGAGCATTTGGTATTAAGTCTTGTTATTATGTGAAAAATCTGTACCTGGCTTTTATGAATCCCAGTTGATTTGATAAACATAATATTCTGAGAGGTCGGGGGATTCTTACTCCTCTTACGCATCTGATCCCACATTTGATGTTTTCTATGGCTTGTGTTTTTATCTTTCATCATAGGATTGTAAAATTGATATTTTCGTTCAAATCTATCTTTCACAAAACTGTATACATATGTTTTAGTTCATATCCCTTGGGGGAAAAATCATACTGAGTTCTGAGATGTTAATTTTGCATTGAAGCCTAAGAATTCATTTATCACAAATAGTGAAAATACTTCAATTCTTCATAAACCTGCTAGTTCATCGAAAGACGCGGTTAAAAAATCACGTACGGAGCGGGGTAAATAGAGACAGCAGCGGGGCTTGTACCACGTGAAATTGCGGAACCAAGAGCATTTAGATATGAGGAATATCTGTCAGATTGTTTTGGTTTCATGACGATGATCACTCGATTGATCACATCATGAAACCAAAAAAATTAGGCAGTTAATCATCAATTAAAGCTTCAGGATAAAGGTGACGACTTTAACTTTAACAATCGTCAACTTCCCTTCCCTTACTTATGTAACAATATACCCTTACCACCTGCAAATGTGATCCATGTCTTTTTAGTGATTGGAAACTCAAGTGCATGCTTTAATCACGAACAATTTCTAAAATAGATTAAGTTTTTGCCAAACAAGTTAATAAAACAAGAATTGAATTCTATATTTATCAAAGAGTTTTCCTTATTGGATAATGTAACAGCGTCGATAGATGGACAGTAACACTAAATGCTGCAATTATCCGACACTTAATTGTTTTGCTTGAGTGTTTAAATCGAGGGTTGTTTGAGAGAACAATCAGGAAGACGATTGGAGAAATTCTGACACATGTTTGGAGGAAAGCAAGTAGCCGAAAAAATATGTATATCACCTATAGTACATCATCGAAATTCGCTAACCATTTTTGAAAGTGAAAAGTGATAAATTCGAAAGATGTGGTGGAATAATTATTTCGTGTTTTATTTATTTTATATTCTAAATGTCGTCGGCGGTAAGTAAATAACATCACTGCGAATATGTTCATACAAAAAGTGCGTTGTCTTGTTTCATTTAAATTACGTCGTTTTAGAGCCCATGGTGTTTGAACTTCATCAGCCTTCCTTAAATATGTGGCAATATTACGCTATCATTAACGTTTGGTTTTTATTTTTGGTAAACATTCGTACTCAAAAGCAGCCTCTAAGAACAATCACTTTCTTTACCCAGGCAGACTTCTAAATAATTAGTTGATGTTTCAGAGAATTCCACAACTTCGTTTATAGCCAGCATTTCGTAAATTTCATGGTTGTAATAATGACTCTAATATTGAACTTTTGTAAGAATCGATAACTTTAACAGTGGATAACTTAGGCTCTCATTAAGGTATATCTTTACTCAGATGACTAAAAATTCCACTGATAAGAACGAAAAGCTACCTATTGCACATTGTAAACCTATGATTCTTGTGTTAAATTTCTATTTCAAATAACTAGGTCATTGACCTCGTTTTCATGCTAGGAGACCCTGAGTATTTCTCGGAAAATACCTCAATTTTTCACACTATGACCATATTTTTCTTCACTCGGAAAATATTACAAGCAACAAAACTCTTTAAATAATAAAATATTATAGCAATGGAACAGAGTTGCTCCATATAAAGAAATGAGTAGAGTTTGGGCCAAAAACGTGATAATTATTACAGTCCGAATTTCCTCTGTCATGTTTATATTTTTTTCCCGATTTTTAATCAAATATTGCAAAAATCTGACTGATAAGAACTCTAAATTATTTATAGCCTCATGTTACATTTGTTACCCTTATTCTCATGGTATTAATATTATATGGGGTCAATGATCAAATTATTGAGGTATGTTGACTGCAGTGGTTTTTGTACACGTTTTTGAATTTCTTTATTTCATATCATTTATTTAATTGAAATAATTCATGAGCTTAAACACATATAAAATTTGCAAAATGATGTATTAAAATACATGTCACCTTTACTTTGTGATTAATATTGCAAGAAATAAAAATGCTGACAAAAATGACAAATTAAGAATTTAGTCCAAATTTCCTCTGCATAGCCATACATTGAGTTTTGTTTCTGTATATTTTCGTCAAATACTTACATATTAAATTTTTTAATTGATATTGAGATAAAACTTAGTTATTTTATCCATTTAGAACAATTTTTGATTTAATATATTATACTTTATAAAATTTCCTCTCTGATTTCTGAAACCTGAGTAAACGTCATCCTTAAAACCTATATTGTATAGGGGTCCTGAATTAATAGTCTTTAAGAAAAGCTTAAGTTAAAGTGGCAATAAGTAATATGTTAGGGGTAGTAAAATGACTTAAAGGCATGCAATCAACACACAAAAAAGATTGGATCAAAATAAAATGACTTAAGGAGGCTGTGGATTCAACAGAGTAACCACCAGATTTAAATTATTTTTTTTTTATAATATCTTAATTAAGCTGTCAACTATCATACATTCTTGTTTTAAAATTTGATCATTTTTGTATATCTTTATCGTAGTAGGATGCTTTTCGTTCCCTACCAAGACAACGTAAAATAACCAATTATTATCATAAATTAACTGTGCGTCCAGTTTTGAAATAGCTTGGCACACAAATAGAATACACTAAGATACATAATTCTTTATCGCAGTTTTCGATTTCAATGAACAATTTTGCTATGGCTACTATTTATAGAATTCTGTGAAAAACTATAAAAATGCTTCTCCTCTCCCAGCTTTGTTAGAATTTAGTATAATTTTGCATAGAATTAAACGAAGGAGACTACATCGAGGATCATTATTTTATTTATTGCTGTTGCAAAGTTTCAAGCACAAATGTAACTTTTCCCTTCCTTTGTGATAAGTACAAACCAGTATAGCTACAGTCTCGACTGGTTCTTATTACAATGACTAATATTACTTTCCCCCCTAAACTATCCCTCTGCTTTCTGTAAATTGTGGAAGTCAATTTATCATGCTTAATAATAAATGTACATGTACAGACTTTTTTTTCGACAATCAAGCATCACTTTCAAATTTTATCAATTTTTTTCTTTTATTGAAAAAAGATTCCATTGCTGTTTCCTTTCACTGTGACGGAGGATGGGACAAATTCGAAGATAAATGCTACAGGCTGTTTTCTGGATCCAGAAACTGGTATCAAGCTCGTGATGGTTGTGCAGCCCATGGGTCGACTCTACCAATAGTGTCAAATAGAAGAATCCAAAGATTTATCATCAAACAGTGTAATTATATAACTAATTTATTTATCTTTTATTACATTTATTTATCTACATTATGTATTTAATCATAGAAATCAAATTATGTTGTAAAAATAGTTAATATAGATTTTAAAGATATATATATTGGCTATTTAAAAGTTATTCTTAAAAAACCACCGAACTATACATTTTGATATAAGGAGACAGGCTAAAACACAATAATATCTAAACACTAATTTATTCACATTTTTGAAATGTCTATGTTTGTCAAATATATTCCTATTTGCCATAAGCTGTATAAATACGAGGGTTGCTCTGAAAATTCGTGGAATTTTTGTCATATTCTTTTTATTTAACAAACAACACACTTAATAATTCTGTAGTCATAAATCCTCAACGTTTAAATTTAAAACGGCTCTATTGATTCACATTTCAAATTATATCTTAATATTTTGCTTTAATGAAAAAAATCAATTTGAGAAGATTTGTCATTTTCATTGAAAACGACAAAAAAGGTGACGTTGTATAACGTCAACAAGCAGTAGAAGTGTATGGTTTGGCTCTATTTGTTGTTATGAGCCAAAATGATTCTGGCTAGGGATTATAGCTAGTAACTGTTTTCTCCGATATATATAAAATTATTTAACCATAATGAAATAGGTGAAATTTTTACCTTATCAGAAATCTCTCTTTATCAGAGATCAAGAAATTCGTAAAGATTGTAGACTCGATTGATAAGTTTACTACCCATTCTAATGTGACTGATATGTAACAAAATGTTTGTAACTGATTTATTTGGATATAAATTCTTAGACGGGCATCTGCTTGGTTCACACGGCGTGTATTTGTCTGGAAATGATATTAAACAGGAGGGCAGTTGAGAATGGTTGGATGAGGACGAACCATTTTCTTTTCACGCCTGGTATAAAGGTCTGATTTGTCACATCATTAGGTGTTCATAAAAAATCTACTAAATGATTCTTAAATTTAGATTTGACATTTTACAGTGTGTTGAATATTTTAATATATTAACCGAAAATTGATTTTAGGAGAACCTAGCAATGATAATGGAATTGGTGATTGTTTACATATCTGGAAAACTCACGAATATCAGTGGAACGATGTCCCTTGCCATTACCCTATCTCTAACTTCTTGTGCTCTAAATCAGGTGTTATTTCATTTTTTTAACAAAATTACCACAATCTGTTTACTTTAACTCTATGATTTATAATGACAATTATCTCTAGATGTATTTTATGGTTTATAATTTAGAATATAGATAAAAAATACTTAATTTTTCTTATGAATGTATGTAAGTATGTATATAATTCAGGAAGGAGAATTCAAGCAGCTTTGTCGACATCTTGTGGTTGCATAAATGGAAACCAAAACTTTTGCAAAATTGGAGACATATCACATACGAGAAGTAAGTAAATAAACCAAAAAAAAAAATCTCAGATGCAAAGCAGACTTGCAGCTCCATAAGTTAAAAATCCTACCAACAAGTGAAAAAGAAGTGATGAAGAAGTATTATTATCCTAAAATCTATATACAAAATATGCATGTAAAAATATGCTAGAATGTTCAAATACTTATATAACTGCCCATAAAAGATCTTTGGAAAAAAAGAAGTGAATGTGTTTACACGTGGCGGCTGAATTATTGACACGTTCTTAAAAATTATAAATATATAAATGTTTAATAAACGAAGGGGGAGAACAAACATAGCTAAAAACAAACATAGCTAAAAACTAACATCTTTTTTATTGTCCCCCGCTTTAACTGAATATTCATTTCGGTTTGTCCGTCCATCCGTCCTCTCATCCTTTTGTCTATTTGTTTGTCTGTAACACTTTCGTTTCAACAATATATTTAGAAAAAGCCTTGGAGATTTTGCATTTTGCAATGAAATCTTGCATAACCGATTAGAAGAGCCATTAAATCGAATGCGGCTGACGTTTTTCAGACTTATAGTCTTTTCTTATATACATTTTTAGCTCAACTGAGCCGAAGGCACAGGTAAACTTTTCTTATCAAAATTTGTCCGTTGTCTGTCGTTGTCGTCGTCATCGTTGTAAATTTTTCGCATTTTCGACATCTTCTAAAGAACCATTAGCCAATTTCAACCAAACTTGCCACAAAGCATCCTTGGGTAAAGGGGATTAAAGTCTGTTCAAAGGAAGGGCCACGCCCTTATTCAAGGGGAGATAATTGGGAATTAATGAAAATTTGGTGGTATGTTTTAAAAATCTTCTTCTCAAGAACTACTGTGCCAGGAAAGATGAAACTTATGGGGAAACATTCTCAGTGTAGATTCAAGTTTGTTCAAATCATGACCCCCGGGGTAGGGCGGGGCCACAATGGCCGACCAAAGTTTTACATAGAAATATATAGGAAAATTCTTTAGAAATCTTCTCAAGAATAGCAAAGCCATAATTGATCATATCTATATGG